TGCAACCTCTTTAGGGGGGACTTGGAGAGGGGGGACTGGCCCGGAACGAAGGCGCAGGGGCCGAAACACACACACACCCCCACGAGGTAGCCACGGGCTCGGAAAAGCGAGAGACCCGCAGGAAAGGAGGAAAGAGAGAGAGAGAGAGAGAGACAGAACTCCCCAGGCCGACCTGCAAGAAGAAGAAGGAGCCCCCGCCTGCACTGCACGTGGGAACGGCGCCTGTCCCGGGCGGGGAAGGTCTGCGCCTCCCCTTGGGACCCCGGATCTCTCTCTGGATGAGGGGCCGCAGCAGGGAAGGCGCTGTCCATGGTACCTGCTTGCCCCCCCCGTCCTCCCTCGCAGGACCGACCCTGCGCCCCCCAAGGGTCTCCTGCCCCCTCCCTTCCTGTGGGGCACTCAGGCCACCCCTCCCCGGGGAAGCTGGGTGTCCCCCATCGGGCCTTGGGTGGCATCTGGCAACCGCTGGAACCAGATATCATGCTATATACAGTACATAGGCTTATCCATGGTTTTCGGCATCCTTAAGGGAGGGGGTCTTGGGCGCGACCCCCTGCGGACAGAGGGGGGGTCAAGCTAGACGCTTCCTAGGCTTCAGGATGCCTGGAGATTCTTGGTGGTTTTCCACCAAGAGAGCTTCTTGAAGAGTTTGCTTTGCAGGATACAAAAGAAGACAACCTCCGTGTTGCTTTTTTCAGGCTGAGCAGATGGCCTTTAGGATCCCCTCTCAGGTGAGGATATTTTTATAGCGGTGATTGGAAGCATCATCATCATCATCTCTCTCTCTCTCTCTCTCTCTCTTTCTCTCTCTCTTGGCAGGGAGGAACTGGCAGAGTTTGAGAAAGTGCCTGAACAGGTGAAAATCAGTGATCAAGGTAAGGCCTGACTCTCAGTGGGAACCCCCTTTGATAGACCACTCCAAAGGCCTGGCTGGCTGGGGAGGATGGAAGTTGTAGTCTTAAGACGGATCATGGATCTTTGACCCAAAGGGTTTATAGTTCATCACCGAAGACGTAACCAAGGAAGTGGAGGATGAAAGTGAGATGGAAGTTCTCTGGGCAATAGGGGGAGAGACGGCCCGTGACCTTCCTTTTGCTCCCAAGATCGTGGGCTCAACCTGACATGAGCCACTGGCCCCGTGAAAAATACGGACTGTCGTGGAAACAGCCGTGACCAAACCCTTGGCCTTCCTCTGCTTTCCTGCCCATCCTGGAAGCTTGGTTGGGCACCCTCTCGCTATGTCGGAGCCTCCTCATGCCCCGCCATGACATAACCAAAATGAATTGCAGACGTGAAGCTGCAGCACGGGAGGGGGGGGCGTGGGTGGCTTACAAGACTTCCACTGATTCCGTGAAGGAAAACACTTTTCAGACACCGCTTTAAAAAAAAAAAAGTTCCGTTCTGGTGTGAATCCCAGAAAACTCTGTTCTTCTCCTGCTTGGCAAGACGTGACTATATTGCCCTGTCAGGAGAAGGAAACTTTTTATTTTAAAAAAGATATGATGTGGAAACGCATCTGTTGTTCAGGTCTCTTTTATTTTTAAATATCTGTGGGGCTGGCGCTCTTGAAACCCCAATGCTTTTTCAGGCCTCCCCCCCACCAGTTCTTCCTCTCTGCTTCCTCATCCTCCCGTCTCTAATTTTTCTCTCCCCCCCCACCTTTGCCCTCTTCAGAACTTTGTCAAGATGGTTTCTGTGAGGACCCCTTCTACAAGTGCTTGGTGGCCGAAATCCCGCCGGAGGATCGGGGCGAAGGCGGTGCGTAAGGGGCAAATTCGGTGTCTCTGCTCGGAGGGGAAGAGAAGCAGGCCTTTTCCATGGCTGTGTGCGTCTGTGTGTCGGTTGTGATGTTATCAATTCCTTTCCAGGCCCATTTCCCTTTTACGATGCTATGTTTCCCCGAATGGTCTTATATTCATTTTTGCTCCAAAAAAAAAAAAAAAAAAAAGAATTGCACAAGGGCGGAGGGCGGGGGTTTCACTTAATTAGGGCTTATGTTTGAGGTGGGGCTTATATGACGAGCATCCTGAAAAATCCTACTAAGGCTTATTTTCAAATGAGGTCTTATTTGCGGGAAAACAGGATAGACTTCTCTATTATCCATAGTTTTCAGCATCCGCGGGGGGGGCTTGGAACCACTCCCCCATGGATATAGGGGTCTACCTGTATTTAGCAATGTCTGTTAGGCAAGTTGGGTGGGGGCTGATTTAAAAAAAAAGAAATGCAGGAAAACCATCTTATGGATAAAATATATAAATGAATCGGCCATTCGCTGGCCTGGACAAACCCGCCCCGCCCCGCCAAGCAAATAGGGGAAAATTCAAGAGAAGATTATGAGGCTCTGGTGCCTTGCAGGACAGGTTGATCACCTCTTCTGCACTCCTGCAAAAGGTACAGGAGCCCTGCCTTTCTTTTTCACCACCTGCAGGACTCTGTCCCAGCCTTCACGTCTGCTGGACTACATCTCCCATCAACTCTAAGCAGCATGGGCCGTGGTTTCGGAAAGGCCACTCTTGAGAGGTGTTTCCTTGTAAGGGACCAACTCAGGCCGTCAATGTAGAACGGGGAGAAAATCACCAGGATGGAAAGGGACGGGGTGGGGGGGCTGGAGACGGCTCCCTGCCCCAGCGAGCAAAGAATTAAGTGTCCCTTCTGTTTTGGGGGGATTCTGGGACTGATAGTCCCCTCCGCCCCCCCTCCCCTCAAAAAAAGAGCATTTCCATTTTCAGAGAGAGAAAGAGAGCAGTGAACTTTGCCTAGAAGCGGAAGGTCAGAAGGAGAAGCCGGGTGTATTTCGGCGACCTTTGAACAAAGCAGAGACCAGGCCAGGGTTTCGAAAGTCAGTTGGCAGCCCTTTTTAAAAAATAAAAAAATAGAGCTCAGACATTGATCCCGAAACCCCCTGCGATGGATTCTGGAGGATGTGGCATGGAGTGTGTTTTGTTAAAGACTCACCCGGTTTCCTTTAAGGAACTGTCAGAAAGGTTGTAAAAAGCCAGGCGAGCCATCTTAGCCGAATCCCGAAATCCATCCGGGTGGGGTAACTTGATCAGGACAATCGAAAAATAAAGGGAGGACAGAAGATGGTAGAGGGGGAAAAAAACTTTTTATATTGCATTTGTGTTCTTATGTTCTAAATAGAAACCCTGGAAAAAGCTCACATGCCCTCAGATGCAGATCTCCAAAAGGGGGCTTTGCACCAAGCCCTTAGGTTGCGAACCGGTGTCCGTTTACCTGGGAGTAAATCCCATTGAACTCGATGGGCCTTTCTTTTGAGCGTGCCGCCTTAGAATGGCACAGCATTGCCAGGTTCCAACTCGCTTACCTGTTTTGGCTTCTAAATTCGGAAAGCGAGAAAATCGGAAACCGCCACCCTGTTTTAAGAGGAGGGCAAACACAGCCCAGCCAAAATTTCAGTTTCCAGAATCCATCGTAGCAAAGAGATTTCAAGTGAGGTTATATGCCTTTCTCTCTTTCTCTCTCTCTCTTTCCTCCCAATTCCTTTGCACAGGTCCCACCATTGTGGGCTACGGCCTTTATTTCTTCACCTCCCGATTCCTTCGCACAGGTCCCACCGTTGTGGGCTACGGCCTTTATTTCTTCACCTACAGCACCTGGAAAGGTAGAAACATCTACATGGAAGATCTTTACGTGAGGCCAGAATTCCGAGGTATGAAAGCTGGAGGGTGAGACGGGGAAGCTCAGGTTGGAAGAAGCTGTATTTTAAGAAAACTCTGTGCACATGCGCATGTGTGAGAGAGAGAGCATGCATGCGCATGCATCCATAAAGACAATGACAGTGATTGGGCACAATCAGCATTTCAATATATAGATATTTACTACAATGCCTATAATCCCCAGATGTCTTGACTGGGAGATTCTGGGAGTGGCCAGGGGATTCTGGGAACGGTGCTCCCAAAATTGACTTTTCTTAGTTTTGGGCACAATCCTGCTGGATTGGAGGCCACCTCGATGTTTAGAAGCGGGATGCAGGAATCCAGACGTCTCGGTGACTCTCGAAACACTTCCAGGTCACCCGATGGCTCCTTGTGCTATCTGCGATACCATGTCTCGTTGCTTGGCTCTCCATCTTTCTCCCTCTGTTCTTATTCTTTTTCACAGGGCAGGGGATTGGGAAGAAACTCATGAGCAGGATCGCGCAGGTAACTTCAGCAACACCCTTGTGTCGTGTGTGTCCCCCCCCGCCCAATCCCCAATTTCAAACAAATTCTACTCCAAAAAAAAAAGTAAACATAAGCAACACCAAAAACATATCTAAAAGCAACAAGGCAAAACCATCCGTTTAAAAACCCCACTGGGGCAGCCGTTCGCTCGGGGACAGCTTGCCCGTGGAGAAGCTTGACCTCAGAAAAAGAGCAAAGACGAGGCCAGGCTGGCCTCCAGTGGCAGGGAGTTCCAGAGTCTAAAAGAAGTATCTAAAGGAGACCAGGGCAGGGGGTGCCCTCCTGCCGTTTTGCAGGGTGCTGCACCCCTCACTCTGACCCACAATCTGCCCATCTCTCTTCCCAGAGATCCTGGGGAGGGGCTGTGGGGGCGGCGGAGCTAGATCCTCCATGGATACCCCCCCTTCCCTCCCACACATAGGACCCAGCTGTCCTCGGGCGGCCAGCTTCTCTGGTACGACGCCTGACTCGGTTTCCCCCGCAGATGGGCGTGGAGAAGGGCTGCACCCAGATGAAGTTCTCCGTCCTGGACTGGAACCGCCCCGCCGTCGACTTCTACCGCAGCAAAGGGGCCGTGGACCTGACAGCCGCCGAGGATTGGCACGTCTTTCGCTTCGAAGAGGACGCCCTGCGGAGGCTGGCGCTGGAGGAGCCCGGGGAGTGAGCGAGCCCCCCCTGGGGTCCAGAGAGGTCATGCCAGAGTCTAGACTAGCTGGCAGTGCAATGTGAAATTGAAAAGAGAAGGTTGCCTTTTTTGGGAGGCACTGCTCCTTGGATGCTTTGTGGACTAATGATGAAGTTGAAATTATATAAATAAATAAATGCAAGCTAGCATGCCCCTGTTTCAGTTTCTCTTACTCCTCTAGTGTGCGGCTAAGAGACTTTGTTCTGCTTCCTTACTTTTATCCACTGAGCTATTTGGTCCGCCCTCTCTCCAGCCTAAACAAAGGCAAGAAGATCTTGCATCTCAGCTATAAAAAATTAAGACCTTCCCAGCCTGTAATCTTACAGTGTAAAATACGTAACACAAAAAGGGGAAAAAAGGGATAAGGAGGGAAGGGGGAGAAGCAAAATTGGGGATCAGTTTGTAAAAGTAAAATACAGTCGGAACCCTGTATCTGCGGGGAATCAGGTACAAATCCTCCTGCGGATGCTGAAAAACACGGATTATAGCAAACACTATTTTAATAGCAAATGCTATTTGTAGCATGATCTTTTGCTCCTTCTGGTGGCCAGTTCTGGTAACTTCATCTTTAGAAACTTATATTTCCAGGATTTTTCTTTTAGTATTTTCCAACCTTGGATAAGTGATCCCGCTGATAAGGGGAATCCTGGTGAAATCACGCTGATGTAAGATGTACGGCCCGTCGGAGGCATGCAACCTGTTTGAAAAGCAGCTTACCTGGGTTTCGCCTTCATGTGCCCTTCCGCTAGTGTACAGGATTTCAGTCCACGTCTAATATCAAGCCACCCTTTCGTCACCAGTACGTGGATGAAAACGTGGTTGTGCCCTTCCGAGGAAACTCTCGCACGGCCTTTGTTTGGACCATTGCTTTATTCGCTCAGCACATTTGGCGGCCAAACAACGTCGTTTCTCCCCCCCATGCCCCCATCTCAGAGAAGGATGGACGTGGCCGGCCAAGCTTCGGCCGAAGCCCTTAAGCCTTCTTCTCCGCCTCGCACACCCAGTTGTAGGGGCGCATGCAATGTTCGTCGCTCCACAAGCCGTCCCGGTAGAGGTGGGCACAGTTGGCGGGTTCGCCGGGCA